ACTTATATAAAAAATAAATTAAAATAAAACTTATGACAATAAAATCATGTTATTCTAATCATATTATTCCAATGACTTATCATATTGAAAGCAAAGTCTAATCATGTTAGCCAAACATAGCTATATTTTTCATATTTGGTTGGTAATGTATTTCCAATATTTCTTTGAGAGATAGCCAAACGCTAGAAATGTATTTCCCAATTTGCATCTAAATACTACCCAAACAGTGACAATCTATTTGCAAGTAATATATATGCCGATAATATATTTCACAGACAACATATTTTCAGGTATCCAAACGGCCCTTAATGTATGGTTTTGCTTACATATATTGCTCGGTGCAAACCAGGATTATGTTACTCTCTCTGAATACAATATTTTAATTATTGCAATAAGAAGGGCACTTAAGAGTTATCCGTGTGTTCTTAACGTATGATTTTGCTTACATATATTGCTTGATGCAAAATATAGGTATATGGAAAAAAAAAAAAATTTGATTTTTAAGTGCATCTTGTTATATATTATCTGGACCATCATTTTTTATGATTTTTAAATATTTATAAATTTCCTCAATTTGAACTAGTTATGTAATTTTAAATTTCATAATTAAGGGTGAAAATTAATTTTTACATTATCACATGAATTTTAGTAAAACTGCATCTTTCAATCCGTTTTGGTGATGTGCCTTACTTTGATTCTTTGATATTGAGGTCCTATACAAATCTCACCTAAAAGTTTATATAAGATTGCAACTTTAAACTATAGAAAAAATGCATGCCTACAAATTTAATTGAAAACGGTTGGTTTGATAGTGAAAAACCATCTGTGATCATCTCTACTTCGAGATATACGGATGTAAAAAAAAAAAAAGATTTAAAGTAGTAAAAATGGTACATCTTGTAGTACATTGTCTAAGCTGTTAATTTTCAAGATTTTTAAGTGTTTGTGGTTCTACTCGATTTGTACATCTTTTTAGTTTTAAATGTCATAATTTAATGTGAAGTAGTTTTTCATATCATCATTAAAAATTTTAACACCAAAATTACATCTTTCAATGAGCTTTTGAGTTGGAATTGTTTAAAGTTGACACCTTATACAAACCATACCTTAATTATTTAAAGCTTTTCTTCTGGACGTGGTTAGCATGAGGTCAACATGCATAATGTAGACATGCAGGCTACGCAATAAATATATTTTTTAAATATAATTTGATCCTAAGTTTTAGATAATATATAATATTTAACATGGATATCATAAATATGATTTTTTTTTTAAAACTACTGCATATGTAATATTATATATATATTTTTTAAATATGTAATATTACATATTTTTTTAATATTACATATTACATATTTTTTTAAAATATGTAATATGTATTACATATTAACATATTACATATTGCATATTACATACTACATATTACATACTACATATTATATACTACATATTACATATTACATAC